CCAAAGAAATGGGGATTCACACCAAAATAGGACTGATATATAATTAAAAAAAAAATTTTGGTCTTTTTTGAGACAGGGACTCCCTGCAGCCCCAGGTGGCCTGGAACTCACCAAGTAGACAGGCTGACTTTGAACTCACAGAGATCCACCTGCCTCTGCCTCTGGAGTGCTGGGATTAAAGGCGTGCGCCACCACGCCCGACTTGATATATAATATTTATATATTCTGTACATTTCTTATCCTAAAACAACTGAGATTTAGTACCCAGTTTCCTTGGAGAAAACAGCTAACAAGAACATAGTCTTTCATATCTGTCCCTAAAATTCACCATTATGGTCCTTCAATAACTTCCTCTAAGTTGAGGCACAGACCCTGGGACTCCATCAGATAATTTCCTTAAGCATAATGTTAGGTCACAGTAAAAAGAATCAGTATTTCAAGAGTGAGAGTGAGTGAGCTAGGGTTGAGACAATGAATAGGATTCGTAGAGCACCCTCTGAGACAGTTTTCCTAAGAACAGGCCTGTACAACTGTCTACTGGGCAGTATTTACAGAGCGGACACCAGGGGTAGCAAAATCCACTGCTCTTTGCTCCCTCCCAGACAGTAATCACAAGGAAGCTGGCTTCCGGCTTGACTGGAAGGTTGGAAAGAGCTCCATCTCCACGCTTCTGACAGGTCCTTGGATTCCCTGCCCTAGATTCTTTTTTCACACTATGGACTCTTCGAACTTCCAGGACTTAAGTTTCTTAAGTTTTCCAGATCCAACAGAGAAAGGGTGGAGTTTAGCATCCTGAAGTGAGGCTCCAGCATCCCAGCCTCATAGGGCTGCATCCACGGCCAGAGATGTTCTAAACTTCCCTCCAACTTTAGTTCCGCATGCCTGCATGCTCTAAGGACTGTGTGACTTTCCGGTCATCCCCTGAATGTGTAGTCCACCCTTTGGAAGGACCGGCTGTGCTACTGGCAGGGCGTTCCACTGCTGTGCCTGTCTTCTCCCTACTCCCCACCTCCGCCCTCCCCCTCACCCCTGCCCCCCACCCACTCCGGGCCTTCCTTTCCCATCCAGCCCGGGTGGAGGTTACTTGCAGTTTGTTGGTGTGGCTACAACTTTTCTTAACGAGCCTAACCCCGCCTTTGTCTGCCCTGTAAGATATCCGTCCCCAAGGACAAAAGCCCTAGTCGTGGTGGGTCTCTGTCGCCCTGGTCGCCCTGCTACTAGGAAAGTTCTAGCATCCAGCAGCACCCAAGCGTGGGGTCCGACCTGGGAGCTGCTGCTTCCCCTATTTTAGCAGAAGGGAGACAAGGGATGCGTGCAGGAGGAGGTGGCCAGGAAGAACTCAAAAAACGTCTGTGGATCCTATACACGGATCCTGATCCCGAGACCCTGACCCCTCGGCCACACCACTACCACCACCCTCAAGACCTCAGGATTTCGTAATTCCCTCCATGCCCCCACCCGCCCCAAGCGGCACACAGGAGCCCACTGTGGTACCCTGGAGGATGGAGGATCACAGCCCATGGAAATGGAAGGGAGAGGAGAAGGACCGGCAGACGCCAGGGCTTGGGGGAACCCGCTGGTTTCTCGGCCCTCCGCTCCATCTACAGGCAACCAGAGCGTGCCGGTCCTTCTGAGCTCCAGGACCTTCCGAAGCCTGGCGACGGAGGGAAGAGCCGCACGCCTGGAGATGGAGGAGGGCTTCCGGCTGCCGGACAGCCTCAGTCCTAGGCAGGGGACCCCCGGGAACTCGCGCTCGCCGCTGCGGTAGGGGGATCCAGACAGAGCCCGGCGATGGCGGGAACAGAGGGGCGTTTCGGGATGGGCGGGCCTCCGAGGGTCAGGGTCGCCGCAAGCCGCTGGAGGGCGGGGCGGGGCGGGAAGAGGGTTCGGGCTAGCGGGGCGGAGTGGCTGCGGACGTCGAGGGGAGAGGTCGGGAGCCCTGCGCCGGAGAGGGCGTCTCGGCTCCGGGTCCCGTGCCCAGGTAGGGGCGGGCGCTGCAGGGCGGGGCCGGGCGGCCGTCTCGGCCCTCCCTGGCGGGGCCCCGCGGCCTGGGAGCCCGAGCGGGCTGAGCCGCCGGCTCGGCCCAAGCTGTCCTCCAGCCAGACCCGGCGAGATCCAGCGCCGGGAGGGAGGCGGCGGCTGGCCCGGCCCCGCCCGTCCAGTGTCGGACGCCGCCCGGCGCCGAGCCATGGTGAGTCCCGCGTCGCAGCCCCGGGGCCCCCC